TGCCGCCGTTTGAGGAAAAGTTACGCTTTTTCAAGGACACGAAATCGTAGTCCTTCTTACGTCTTTGATGTTATTTTTTTTCCTACAACTGCTTATACAACCTTCTGATAAGTGAGGAAAGATATGTTTACTATTAAACAGTATTTGCTTTAGCACAAGTGATATCATTGATATTCGACGTAGCTACGTCACGAGTCACTGACTCGACTTCTTACATCACACAGCCACACCTATTTTACTTTCGGCGTTCTTTTTGCGGTCAAGTTGAATTGTTCTTACAATCATCGCATTCCAATGTGAGGTGCATACGGAAAGAAGTATCAAAATATTTGATACAAAAACATAATGCTCTTCGTGTAACATTTTGTATTGTATCATGTTTTCAAAATAAAGTTATCTTTTGTTTGTAATAAAAAAAAATTAATTTCAAAAACAAAGCGAAACAATATTTCGATGTTTCCGTTGTAAAAACAACAGACATGTCATTGCCAAGAATCCGGGAAATCAACAAAAGTTGATAAAACATTCGAATATGAAGACCCTTTTGTTATAAAACGCAGATAATACAATAAAAAAATATTTTGTACGACTATTGAATTAATGGACTAAATAAGCATAACATTTTCTAAATATAAAAGTCTTTCCTTTTTCGAATATAACTAGCTGTTCCCATGCAAATTTATCCGCATAGAACTATAAAGAAAATCATATTATTGTCTAATTATCAATTGCAAATGTCAAAACGACATGACATGATGTCAAACCATGGCAACCTTGCTTCCTTGATGTTGGCAAAAACTTATTGTCTCTTTCCCACATTAGGGTTTTTATCCAAAATATTTACCCCTAAGTTTAACGGCGTGAAAATATGTAGGCTAAAGCATGAGTAAGTGTAGCGATTTCTATTTAAAAAGAATTATTCTAAAATATACTGTGATTGCTGACATCTTTGGCAACAAAGAAGTGTGTGTTTTAGTATAGATTATAAAAAGAAAAGATTTGATGTTTGTATGTAACGAACAAACTCAAAAACTACTCTACTTATTTCAAAAAATCTTTTACCATTAAAGCTACATTATTACTGACAGTCTTAATCATTTACTAGATTTTTTAAATTACAACACAGACGTTAGTATTATAAAATGCGTTAAAGCAATGTAAGTAAAACTTGAAATAAAATAGAAATTAACACAAGCCGCGTATTACATTGATAACAGCTTTCTCTCGTACACACTTAAGTATTAAAACAATACATTATAATTGACATTAGACTAAAATAAAACTTTCAAATGTATGAGAACATATCTAATTATTTATGAAGTTTTTTTTGCGATTTATAACAAAACTGCTAAATGCGTCAATCACACAAGAAACGACATTGAAAATTTGTTAAAAAAAAACCACTAAATCACTATAGAACAAATCATATAGAACATAATGTAAAGTCTATAGAAATATCCAGAGCTATTGCAAGGCATTAAATACTTGAAACGTATGCCTAAGAAGATAAGGACCTCCCTTACATAATACATGATAGTGTTATGCGAAACAATAGCTTTAGACTCAATATTACACAAAAACTGTAAAACTAAACACTACACAATTACATGTATGCAAATGTATCTTACTTGCACGTTATCAATTACATGCATAATTACATGATTCAACTTCTAGAATTATATAATTATTGTACACAATGTCTTATGGCTTATTCACCCAAGTTACCATAATTTATTGCAGTTTTTTTATACTTTTTAAACATGCGTAAAGCTATAATTTTTTTCACGAACGATCTACACCGGGGGTGTAACTCAGTGGTAGAGTGTCTGCTTCGCATGCTGAAAGTCCTGGGTTCAAATCCCAGCACCTCCAAATAAAAGTCTTTTTTTTTTTTTTTCTGAGAAAAAAGTCTCATGTCATAACTTTATTACCACAGTAAAAAGATACTAGAATTGATTTTTATAAACGATAACTTTTTGTTACATTTTAAACATCTTGTTGCGGAAAGATTTTTTTCATGTTAAAAATATTCAGTACAAAAATGCAAATAGAAAAAAAATGTTTGAATATGCCTAATTTCCGTTGAAAAATAATATACAATACTTTACCTTGATGGTTCATTTTAATTCTAATTTTATTGATTACTTCCAAATTGAGTGAAAATTGTCAGCGCCATCTATGCACACTATAGTTAGCTTTACTTATCTTGAATGCTCATTTTACGTACATTTACTTCTATCAACATTTAGATGGCGCTGTAACAGGTTCACATGACCGGCTGGATAAATAGTACAATATCAGTAATAAAACGCATTTTATATATATAAGGTTTTAATGAAAAATCAACTAAACGTATAAATCTTATTTATACTTATAATTAACAAGTTAATGGTTAAATATTTACATACAGGTCGGGAACTTCACATACATGGTTCCCAAAATTGCACTAACAAAAATATAGGGCACTTTTTTAGACAGACCATTCATTAATCACGTGAGTCTCGTTAGGAGGAGAAAGGTTTCAAAAAACACGAAACGACACGTAACTAATGGATGACCTCTAACCCTATAGAGCCTTGTGGTATTTGCTGTAACAATTTAAACATGGGATATTCAAGAGAAATAATCAGCACAAATAATACAATACTAATACTAGATTTTCAAACATTTTCATAAAAAGATCAAAATGTTTTATTTCAATACATAGTATAACATTTTTAATCTAATAATTAGCTATAAATATTGCAACGCAATAAATAAAAATATCGCTACTTTGGTTATTTGATTTCTAAATAATACTTTACTTTTTGTTGTCCAAATTATTTTAGTTTAAAATACACCGTGTATTTTGTAGACAATTGTTTTATTATAATAAAACAAATAAACAAAATTATTATTATAATGTAAATATTTTAAAAACCATGAAATAACAATAGATTTTAATGCCCTAAAAGTTGAATAATGGTAACATTCTGATATAAATTAATTCTACATAACTAACTTTTCGTTATGAAACGAAACTAATAGAGAAACTGTTTAAAATATTGAAGTGGAGTTGACAGACACAGAAAAGTAAAGACATTAGAAATAAAGATCAAATATTGATTATGAACATTGAAAATCAGGGTCCAATTGTTTAAAAAAAATAACAATAAATTGGCACATTGTTTATGATTTCTTTTTACGCAACTTTTAATATAGAAAAAGAAATGACGATCGTAGTCTGAAAATGGAAGTAAGATTGAAAATTTGAACCCTGTTATAAAACACTAAAACACCGTGTATACGCTTTACATACAAAACAGTCTTGATACGCCGTGGTCACAATTCTTAACTAGTAAATAAATAAATGCTTAGTTTACTCCAATCCGAAACCAGGAATTCCTAAAAAAAAGAAACTTCACAATATACGCCGAACTTTTTATAAAATCCAATGTTTTGAGAATATTTTTATCTGATTGAGCAATCGACATTTTTAGAAAATAAACTTCTTGGTAACTCTTAATTTTGGATTGGAATGAACCATATTAGCTCCTTGCCTATATGCTACGGCGCTACTCGAGTACTGTCCTATAAAAAGGCTAGCCTGCCTCTGCTGACCCAGCAACGTTGAAAGAAACGTAAAGTTAGCATCCATCTTACCATAAACTTCCCCAAAATACATCAAAAACAAAAGTGCTAACTCCGGAAGCAGAAACATCAGGATTTTAAAGACAAAATAAATTACGTTTTTGTGACTAGAACCATTCTTTAAGTACAAAAAATCTCGATTAATCCTAAGAAATCAAATAATATTAGAAATAATAAAAATTCTAGCAAATAAAACTAAAAGAACAGATAATTATTTATGGCACCTTTGAATATTACGCCTTAATTTTAACCGTTTGAGAAACATTTCAACGTTGCCGATTGTTCGCAGTCAACTAAATTTACTATTAACTAACGCTACTAGTTTAAATGGAAGATAATAAAGTGGCCTCGCCTACACACAAACTATAACAAGACTCTACACTACAACTCATCGATATCATAACTAACGCTACCAATCTGGAGGGAATTAGAAAATTATAAATGGAAGAACTAATGAGAGATGAACTACAAATACGTTTCATGCCCTATTCTGTAACCATAATTAAGTAAATAATAAAATACTATACTGAAAGTTAAAGTTACACAAATAATATTAAATAATTGATCGTGTTTGACTACGGTGGCATATTTAAAAAAACATTTTTGAAGAAATTATTATGTAACTTTCTCAAAATGGAATGTTTCATTCATATAGATTTTGTTTAACTATTGCTAGAAAATTTGTTAATCCACTCTTTTATTATAGCGGATATAATATTTTAAACTAAAAGCCAGAAACAAAAAGCTTGATTGGGCACAAAACGAGTACAACAAAGTTAACCTACGAGGATATGTAAACGAAACATTCAACCCATACTAAGTAATAAAGGACGGGAAGGGGGAGCTGGTTACAGGTTACAGGGAGTCGAGCCTTGTTCGCTGCACGGCCAGCAGCGCCGACTGCTGCTGCAAGCTTGCCCGCAGACCCTGTAGCGTCTGCAGCACCTGCAATTCAAATTTTTATATACGTAGTGCATTATCATCATATATTACTGCTTACTACTCGAGGCTCTGGCAATCTATCACTTAGTTAAAATGAGTATAACAAGAACCTTAACAAGGACGTTAAATAATCACCTCTGTATCCGCCGCTAGTTAGCCCTCTTTTTCTGATATAAGTAAATACAATTTCCATGTTATGGACTAAGATCTAGAATAGGTTATGACCTCAACGTTATTATGCAAGACAGAGAGCTACCTAAATCTATCATCAAATCAGACAAACACTTAAAAACTACGACAAAATAAATCATACTTTGGTAAAATAAGCATACCTCATCTCTGGCGTATGCTTTTCGTTTAGGAGGTTCTGAGTGCGGTCTGTCAGCGGGCGCGCAGGGCGGGTAGTGCGGGGGCGGGGGCGGGGGCGCGGCGAGGGGCGAGCGGCGCGGGGCGGGGGCGCCGCGCCGGGCCGCCTCCGGGGAGTTGGCGCGGATGAAGTTGGTGACGTGCGTGCGCTCCGGGCTGCGCCGCGGCGCCTCCGACTGCCGCGCAACGGGACAAAACATGCTACAATACTAACTCTAGCAACACCTAACTAGAGTTTAACTATACTTATAAAAGAATTAAAAAAAGGATGTCCACACAAACATTCCTAACAGTAAACTTGTCTAGCACCTATTAGAATATAATCATGAGAATGCAATAGGTCGCGTGATGAGTCGGAACTCTAAATCTGGAAATCTAGGGGTTAACATCATAGTCCAAAAATGTAATCACGGTCATGCTTCAAGATGCCTCTGACTTGTTTGCGGAACACAGCTATTACGTACCTTTAGCAATTACATTTGTATACTTAACACACTTTAATGATATAGGACTCTACTAACCTCAGTGGCCCTTAGTTCCCTGATGCGGGGATTATGCGGCGGTTCCAAAGGGGCTCGAGAGACGGTTACCAGTAACTTCTCCGCCTCTCGTATAAGCTCTCGGTACTTCCTCTCTGCTTCTCGGTCAGCTTCCAGAAGTGGATCCCGCTCCCGCACTGGCGGCGCCGGCGGGGCGGGGTTCCGACGTCGGGTGCGGGGTGGCGTTGCGCCTGGAAACAAACCAATAATTAAACTAGAGGCTTCTACCGACACCATTCTTCATTTTTGCCTAATCAGTTCTTGCAGGGAGAAGTGCTTCGACAAATAACTTTTTCTTTCTTAATTGGACATTAGCTGTATAAATCCGTATTAAAGGGATTAGATACATCTTTACTAAGTGATCAGTTACCTGCAGAACGTGGTGGTCTGCGAGGCGGTCGCCTCCGTCTAGCACGTCGTCTGCCTGGGGTAGCGTTGCTGTCGGTGTCGTCCTCATCACCGCCATCCAGACCTGTATCGCCGTCGGAGTCAGCGTCGGCGTCTGACAATATCGCCGTCTCTCTCCCCCGCGTCCTCGCGTCCCTGCACTCTTCATCACTGGAGACACCGCCCCGGTAGTACGGCGACCGGTAACGTTCCGGAGATAGGTGTGGTGATAAATGCGGGGATCTGAAATGTTTTAGTAAGTTTTCTGAATCAATAAATATCAGAATGAATGCCTTTTAATTAAAATTTAACAACCCAACTACGGTCATCAAGCTAATTCAACAAGCATTAGCTAGGCACGTTACGTCGGGAACGACAATCTTTTTCTTCATTGTGACGTCACTATTGTACTGATCCATGAAAGATTGGGGTTATTTCTTCTATGTAACATTTATAATTAGATTATTGATTTAGTTTATATACTGAGTAATTTTATGCCCTGACCTATTGTTGACTCATAATCGTTTACTGAAGCAAACGAAGCTACCGATCTGAACATAAAGTTGTATACACACGTAGTTATAAAACAATCAGTACGTCGCTCGAACATCAACTCCGACGGTACCGAGATAGAACGGATGGCGCGGGGCAAAAAGTCAATGACGTAATCAGTGAAAGCAATTAACTCGGTAGGGTAGACACGAGATGGATAAACGCTGACTACAAAAAACGTCTATTTATAAACTCTTTCGATTTCAATTTTTTATCTGTTCCATTTTAAATGTATTTACTCTGTGTCTGTTTGCGTGGTTTTATCCGAAATCTCTTTATTTATGTAGCAGTTCAACAATTTTAAATTAACATAGGCCTTGTTTTCTATTCTACAATATAGGACTATGCGTGTAGGGGTTAAGTATAATTCAATAAGTGCTTCGTGTAACTTCAGCGAGGCGCAAATACCATTAGACTGCAACACGACACCAATTTTTCAGTTACTAACGAACCTTTAACCTCAGGATATCAGTAAGTTTTCATTTAGTTACTAAAAATATGATACTTTATTCTGTCTATTCGTAGGCAATGAGAAAGTGTTTTTATAAATTCGTGTTTTGTAAACATCTCATGCCTTAACCGCAGGGAATTGCAGAGTTGACGGCTTATGCATAAAAATGGGGTTACGAAACCGAATAAATGTAACACAGCTAGGGGACAAAACGTACAAACGTAAATATTTCACTCAGAGCAATATTTTGAAAAACTTCTGAGCATCGTCTGTTTCTTAAGAAAACTATTTTACTAAACGACTAGCTTTTAACCGCGACTCCGTCCGCGTGAAAATTAAAAATAATAAAAATGAAATGAAAAAATATAGCCTATGTATCTCACAGATAAATTACCTTTCTAACGGTGACAGAATTTTTAATATCGACTTAGTAGTTTTTGAGCCTATTCTTTGCAATCAAACAAAGTTTTCCTCTTTATAATATTATATAGACAACATGACACATTTTTATAAGCTAAATAAATCAAATTGATAACAAAACAAAAGGGAATGTTACTGGAAGAAAGAAAGGCAGTAAAGAGTTTTAAGAATGGACAGTGGAAAACTGATTAAAAAAACTACCTTGTTCCATATATTGCTTGTGTATCTAGAGAGTATTGAGCATGTAACATTTGAGGTGCTGGTTGCGGGCACTGTAGGGACTGCTGGGGGAAGAGGGGCGTGCGGCGACGCGCAGTTGGAGGGGTCGCTGCTCCCAGCCACGGGTTGGTGCGGATGCGGCAGCGTGGCCGCGGTGATGGCGTCGCGCATACCACGGGCTCCGCGCAACGCACCACGGGGATCGACCGCCTCTGAAACAGTAAGTATATTTCGATCGATGTTTTTTTCATAAGAAATACCGTGATGTAATCAATCTATTAGAATATGAGCTTAAATGCATGAAAAATAATTATGAAATTGGTCATACTTCATCTTAATCGTTGGCGCAGTATGACACAAGAACTGTGCTTAGGGATTTTTGATACCCTTCACTTAACCCCTTCTAAGGTAAAGGGGTCTTACAAAAATTGCGTTCGGACTAGCTAACGGCAGCCGGACGCGGGTTTTGTTATTAAAAATAACATTTGGGTGTCAGCATCAGTGCTCTCACTTTACGATCACTGCGCACTATGCTCCCCAAGACAAGGATGTCAACATGCTGAAGGAAAAGTCAGTGTTTAAACTCGTGCTTTTCGACGGGACTAGTGATAGCACGATTTAAAATACTAGTAGCGACATCTATTAGCAATTTTATAAAACTAAAAAAAATTATAATTATCGTCATACATTTAAAATTTGATTATGTATCATCTGTTACAATAAAATGAAAAAAGTACAGCTCAATAAGACAGTTGCCTTTGTAAGTTGTACCGTTCGTTATCTAACATCAGACGAATACTTGCTTCATTTCAAATTAGAACAATTCAATCTGCAAGTTCGTATAGGTCTGGGCAATTGTTAGATTGGATTCTATTACGAAGCCTTTTGTTTGTATTAAAGACCACACCTCGTCAATTTAATCCGGTCGGAATTAATTAATAAAGACTAGTGTTAATGAAGAAGTTATTTCATCTTTAAAATAAGTGCAAAGCCAAATAAAAAAGATAAACTCGGATTAGGACTATTATGTAGCCTTTTACCTTAATATAGCAATAATAAAATAAAATAACAAAGCTTTTCAATTAAAAAGTGAACAATTTATATCATAGACGTATTGGAAATTAGAATTCCGAAGCAATTTTAACAATTGGCAGGGAGAGATCGTTAAAGAGTTTGTAACAATTTGAAACTTCTGAAAGTATGCTCAGTTTTGATGGCGAGAGCACGAGTTGCCAGCATTTAGTACCTACTTACTTATTCGGTAATTATAACGGGGTCAGAATTCTTGATAAATATTTAACACGTTCCGTGCCACTATGATTTTTACGATGTCTTCTCGTAAATCGCATACATTTTACTGACCTCGATAGGCGGGTTGCCAGCAATGAACGTATCAAATTATGTTTAAATTATTCATCAATAAAATTTGTTAAATTACCTATTAAAATACTGCCCGATAGATTAATTTTTAAAGTAATGGAAAAAGCTAAAGAGTTAACTAGTGGCATCAAAACATAGATTATTTCTATCTATCCTGTTTATAAAAACATTCTCATATTTCTATATCTATTTAGAACCCATTCTCATAGCGTTTTTCAAAAAAAGTATGCAATTTTATTTTTAATGAAAAAGAGTCGAAGCATACTCTATTTGAAATGTTTCCAACATAAATGAAGCGAGTTCAATCGTAGCGGCCACTCGTCGCGCACTCAATCGAACGAGGTCTACGAACTGCGCAGACTAACTTCCGCCAGAGCTTTTGCTTAAGTTGAAAAATCTGAGCGCAGTGTGGTGTAGGGTTTTAAGTTTTATGGTATCGCAAACTACAAGTTTATTAATAACATCTCACAAATTGACGGCATTAACTTTTCTTGTGTTGTAGGAATATTGTAATTAAAGGGTTTTTGCATATTTTTAAACTATGTCAAATTAAATGAACGTCTCAAGTACATATTAAATGTATTCTACTATTTTTATTTCTCTGAAATTTCTATTTAACCTTCAAAAGAAAATGTTTCTCTAATTATAATCCACTAGTTTTTAAATTATGATATATGTAGATTCCCTATATTACATTTAAACGTAATTTTAAAACGTATAAGTACAAGACGTAGTAAAAAGGAAGAAAGTCAACTTGACTATGCCTAGTTGGTTTCTTAAAGTGCTTTTGTAAGGCAAGAGGAGCGCGCAATGCTGAGTCGTAACAAAGCCGGGACTCAGGATATCGAATGAACGCCCCACTACAGACAAATCCAACGCCACGTTCACTTATATACAAACAGAAATATAAATACTAACTACCTCGTTGTAAAATAAATCTTTAAATTTTAATTAACGTTTTTGTTTTATTTTTCCATACGTATATTTAATTTTTAATAAAAGCTATACCAAATAATCGAGCATAACATATTTCTATTGTGGTATTAGGTAGATTTACACTATATGTGTAGTTCAAACACTGGAATTTCCTTTGAAATAATAACCTTGTCACCAAAGGTATCACAACGTATCTGTCCCTTGTTAAATCTAAGTGGGGAAGACAGTGAAGGCATGCACACTGAATATTTTAACTCACCTTCGCGGGCTCATGGTAAAGGTGTGTTGTGGGTGGCGCGGGTGGCGGCGGCGGGGACACAAGCGGAGCGGCAAGCGGGGCGGGCGGAGCTCCAGGAGACGTGCCGTCGGTGGAGTAGCCAGTACTGTAAGCACTCTCCGGTGACGATAAATGAGGTGCTTGTACAGGACCAGGGGTAGTTGTGGTCGGCGCAGGTTTACTTTGCTTCTGTTTACGTTTCTTCGCCCGCCCCAGCTGAGCTTCCATCCATGACTTGAGCCGCGCGCCCAACATGCCGTCGGCACCTGTAGAGAAATACAAGTTAAAAAATTGTTACTGAATCCTGCAACTTTATTTAGTCGGCTTGTTAATTTTGTTATTTCGGTCAGACCAAAGTTTTATATAGATTTTGTATTATGTGCAATGTTTGTGGAACAGTTGGAATGTTCAAAACATTTTAACAAAAAGTATTTGTTGAAAGGTTGGATAAAAATATCACTGAACAAACAGAAATGGAAAACTTTCAATGATAAATGAAAATAGACGTCGAGTCGACAAATTAAAATCAGAAAAGTAATAAAACCAAACCATATTATGATGGAGTATCAATAATATATTTAACTAGAATTTGTTACATTCAAACGATGAATCTTTTATTAAATAACTCAGTTATGACCTATACACGAAACCATAAATATTTACTATGATTTTCCGAACGTAATAAGTTTAATAATCCCAAATATCCTGAATGCTATTTCATCATTACGCGTGCTTCGTTCTAGCTTGTATCTATCACAAACAAAGCAATATTCAGCGATAAAAATGAAACAAACAACACATATATTCAGACAAAAGAAGCGTTGCAAAAGCCCAGAAAGTATTGCAATAAGGACATAAAAAGCGCAATAGTTCCCCAGTCGTAAGATAAAACCGCAGAAAAACGTTACGGCCGATATAAGATGAGTGTGGCTTCAACAATTGTTTTGCCAAAGCCCTGTATATTGTGTCATCGAGACCCTTCCTTTGATGTAAACAAAAGTGGTGACATAAAATGTTTTATCACCTCGCCGCTCAGCGCTCGCGAGGCGTCGACCGCGACACGGGTACTCTATCTATAGTTAAGGTCAGCTTTTGTCCACGTTTTAATTTTTATCATAATCTTTACCATTTTCAAGTTAATAGACGTTCATTTACTTATCTTTGATTTTATGAATTTTTACTGGGGAGGTTATTCTATAAGAAAAAGTGCAAATTAAAAACCAATTTCTACAAAAGCAACTGCTAAATTAATTTAATATTTAAGTTCCATTAAATGTTTGTGTGTGATTTACGTAGCAAGCAAAATGATAATATACGTAGTGTACGTATAATACATAACATATTGAAACAATTTTGTCAACTTATTCGTTCAATTTTGTGGCTGTCACTATAGATACAATTGTGCTCGCTCCGCGCCGAGCAACTGTTTTTCATTTTTCAAGAAACTCAACGTGAATGTGAAAAGGGTGTTGTTGAGCCCCTTTTTTCATTAAACAGGAATGTTGTGTTATAAATACTGAGAATTGAATATTTTACTCTTATCACTAAGTCTAAATATGGGTTGAAATCTGTTTCCATTCTAAGTTATTACACATTTTATTCTATTATTTTAATTAAATCATCTGACCTGTGAAGTAAAAGTAAGGGAATTTATTTCTTTCTTTTTAAGTACCAAAGTTTTATATGTTAAACATGCCACGTTTTGTTATATATTATACCAAAATCAAAAATTTGTATATACGTCACAAAATTTAACTTTTATCGAGCGCAAAATTTAAGTGGGAGTAATAAAAAAATATTAAAAAAAATAGCAATCCTACTGGATAATCAAATCGTAATTTAAAATTTCTTCTTGTCTGCAAAGCATATATTGTCAAACAGTAACATCACATTCCAAGGTAAGAGAGATAAGAAAATACATTATCAAATAAAAAATCATTGCAGGAAACACGTGTTAATTCATTAAAAATTTGCAATAAACTTAATTTACAGAATCAGAGAGCTCGCTTTCATAATAGAAGACGAGTTGAAATTAGATACACACGGGAACAATTTCTAAATATCAAACAAATTCAATATCAATGTAAAAGGTTCAATACGACTTAGTACTAATCCGGCCTAGCATTCAAGTCCCCATACGACGAGTACTTTGCTTATTGTTTCGCTCCTATCCGTCCCCCGGCGAGCCTTACCGTACCCGGCTATAGCCGGTGAAAAGACGGATGAAGTCGGCTTATCCGGCGCGAAGCGGGCGGGGAACTTACGCGATTTAGCTAATATTAGCAATCCATTACCGAACGGTTGCGGTTACAAGGGACCGAGCTAGATTGGGACCAACCTCTCTACTCACATAATGGATCTAATTACAAATTAATATTTACTTTAGGAGTACTAGTGTATTGAATTATTAGACTTATTTTATAATGTTAATTATTACGCCTATCTCTGGGTCTATTGATTACTACAAAAACATTCTTAGTGTTAATTTGATAAGAGAATTTTGCAATGAGTTCGCTCATTTATTATTTCTTTTTTATAGATAGTTAATATTGGCGAAACATTAAGAGTAAGTTTTACAATAATAAAAAAAATAATTGACATTTCTTGTAGTAAACTATTTACTACATAACATAACTTAAGTAGACAGAACTTGAACAGCGTCATACCAAAGTTTTGGAAGCCTATAAGTAAATTAACTCGAGTTGTTCCCCTACACAGAGCTAAGTAAAGCGTAGAAACCTCGAACAAACACGACTCAAAGTTGTCACAAGTCGTGACGATGTGAGCACAGTTGTCGTCGTCAATAAAACGCAACGTAAAAACTTTATTACGCTCTTACGTACAAAGAGCTCCATATAGTTTATCTAACTTCATTTCGTCTACGAATTTATGTTCTTTTACAAGCTTAAGTAATTGTCGAATGATATGTAACCTGCCTGCAGGATCTTTATGTGAAAACGAATTATCAAATTAACCACAACGAGGGAGTATAATTACAATCATGAAATGATCCGGAAGTAGAGTTTCAAATGTTTATCTAGAATAGAAAATGTAGAAAGCCTATAGCAAGTCCGAAAATATACTAGGATTATATTATAAGATAGAGTATAGTGCAAGATTTTTCCTAATGCTTTGATGTCTAGAATATCATATCAAACAGTTTTCCAAGTTATATTTCAGTGAAGAATAAAATCATTAATCCGTTTAAATAACCCGATAGTATTAACAACTATAAAACAATACTTGTTACTTGTTGCCTACATCTTTTGCGTGGTATTTAAAAAGAAAATTGTAAACCTTTATCCAATATTTTTCATTTTTTAACACAATAAGGTAAGAATATTTCGGTTACTATTAAGTTATTTAAATTAATTCAAATGATCAACTTTAACCATTGGTAATTTAGCAACAAATTGCCAAATATCTAAAAATAAAGTTATCTACTCAGGTTACTGTAAGTGAGAAAACTTTTAACAAATCTACTGAATAATAAATACAGAAAAGCTCCGTCGACCGGCGCTAATTAATAAATCAGGTATTCATTTATGCAAGCTGTCTCCACCCCGTCGTGCGAGCGACGTAACAAGGGTGTCGTTTTTCCGCTTTTCACAGACAGACCTGAGAAAAACATGAATGACAAGATATTTTTTTATAAAAGTTCTGTTTGTCATTAGTCTTCTGGACGGATATGTTAGGGAAATGTTTTTTAAGCAAACATCGTTTCGTTTATTAATTTAATATGTCTTTGTCGCGTATAAATAATTACGAATTATCTAGTGTTGTGTTTAATCTCTTACGTAATACTACTATTGAGAGCAAAAAATTAAAGGCCATTTTTGACCGACTTCCCAAAAGAAGGAGGTATTCAATTCGTCGGTATATTTTTTTTTTTTTTTATTTTTTTTTTTTTATGTGTGTTA